ATTCTTACAGAACCCCTCACCTGTTGAGCTTTTAAAGGTGAAAGAAATCCACATGTGTTATAAATATAACAAGCAGGTTTGGCTTTAGTCTTGTGGTTTACAGACAGGTTTATGACATACACTTGTTCAGAAGGTCTCCTTCAACATCCTTCCGTGCTTCAAGTAGATTTGAAAATAACGATTAAGAGCTGTGGATTTGGTTTCTTCAGGCCTGTGTTTTAATTGTGCTGTTGCCAGCTCTTTAACTTCAAAGCTGTTCCTAAAATAGAATCTGCCATCCCTCCTAGGTTCAATGGAGGAGGAGAAAAAAAAAAAATATTCTTACCCAATATTAAACCAGGACTACTTGCCAGAAAATTTAAGTATTCCAAATATAAAACATCCTCCAAAAGCCCCTTTGAAAAAGGATCTTGCTTTGAAGTTAGATCTCTTGTTCTGAATTCATTCACTCTTGCGCTTCAAATCTTTTTTGAGGAACGAGCCCTGGAACGATTCAAAGGGCCAAATACAGAAAATTCTCAAATACTCCAAGGAGATCACTGACTGTGGCAAAAAATGTGTTTTGTTTGCTTGGTTTATTGCTGTGTTGGAGTAATTTAAATCTAAAGAAGAATGTGGATGTGTCTGTTTAACAGACTTTAAAAGTTGGTTTATGTGTTTTGGTTTAAGAGTGTAGTTAAAATGTGACACGTATTTGTTATATTTTAAAAAAATTACTCAAAGTATTGAACTCCTGTTGCATAACTGGAAATTTTGACTGCCTAGACTTACACCAGGGCCTAGCAAGTACATCATCTCATCCCCAGCAATTTTAAGTGTGTACTTTTTATCTTGTGATAAATAAGGGAGAATTTGGCTTAGTTTAGCCTGTGGCAAATGTTTACACAAAGTTGAGTTGTATTACATTGCTGTGGACTATTACACAGTTCAGTCAATTTGCAGTGTTTGTTAAGCTGTGGCATCATTACTGTGTTTGATTCCACTACTCTCCAAGTGGAGCACATGTGGCATTACTTTCCTTTAGTAAAAAACCTAGCTGGTTTTCCCTGAAATTTTCATTAGGAGTGTTTGGTTTTTAAGTGTTACAGTGTCAAACTTTTTATGGTGTGATTTCTAGTGTTCTTAACAGTGGTACACACTGGAAAGCTGGTGTGCTGGTGAAGAGCAAGTGGCTCATGAAGTTTAGAAATTAAGCTTTTGGGATTCACTGTCTCCTGATTTATGTTTTGTCTGAGAGATTAAATTTTAAGTCTTCAGGATTGGACAGCAACCTCAGTTTTGTTTCACAATTTGTTTAATCCTGTAGGATTAATGCTGATAGAAATTTATGTCAGTGAAATCACCAGCAATTAGTGAACATTGATACCGATTACTTTTTCTCAGTATGCATATTCCTTCATTTTGTCCTTCTGCCAAGTCAGTTTGGAAGCAGTTGGCATTTCTAGACATTATAATATGTAGATGCAGTTAGATGTTGCCACCATACAACAATTTTTATAGTTATAATGTTGAACTATGATAGATACATAAAATTATTCCATAGAGTGACCAGTACATCTAGGATATTCTCTGAATTATGAAGTCTGGAACTTGAATAAGATGGGTTTTAAGTGGATCTGTTTGCTGTTCTGTCTGAATGTTTATGGCAAAACTGATGAAAGCGCTTGGCAGTTTTCTGTTCTCCCCCCACCCTGAGTCTTGCAGTGAGTTGTCAGACTGAAAGGACTTGTTTTTTAATGGAAGCAGAGTTGCTCATAACTGAAAGAGCTTTATGTCTGGTATATTGGTCTATTTTCTGGCAGTATTGTTTTAGCCAATTTTATTATTTTCATGTGTTTTGTGTATTCAATTGAGATAAAGCTAGTTCTTTGTAAAATATGAGAAGATAATGCCCTTTAAAGTGTATGAATTATTTTTGCCTTTTAATCATTCCTTTCATAATCGAATAAGATAGGTTTATGTGGTTTAGGTTTATATATTTTGTTAGGGCAGCTAATTAAGTTGCAAACAATTTCTCAGCTTTTAATTAGATTCATAACAGCTAAGCTAGGTCTGAAAACCAGAAAAGTTAGAACCATTTTTGAATGTGTATTAAAGGATGTTCCTTTCTCATATATTTACAAGAAAATAGAGTACCAAACATTTTTTTTTTTTTCCATCCAAGTAGCAACTGAGTGATTAATTGCAGTGTGGCATAGCATTAACTGAAAAGTCTGTAATGCTTACTGTTACTATTTTGTCCATGTGGACCTACTGTTTCCTATACTAAGCTATTAAATGTCAGAGGCCAATTGCATTTCCTTTCATCCAGTCATGGAATAGAAAATAAAGCAAATATATTCTATGGGATGTTACTTTCCTTCTAGATACTAAGCATTTTAGGGTTATGGATTTAATTCTAATTTTGAGATCCAGAGTAATTCTTCATTATTTTTGTCTCTAATTAAACAAGATCCTGAAGAATAGGAATTTAAATTAAAAAGCCAGATTTCACAAGGCTTGCATAAAATCTTAACAATTGCTATTAATGTGACATCTTGATCTGAGGACACAGAAAATAAGTTACGTATGTGGTGACAGCTCAACCTGATTTATCTGATTTTTAGATCTACAGATAATAAACATAAGCTATTACTATAACTGATACATTATTTCTTGTCTCTTTAGGTATACCAATAACAGTGCCACCACCAGGTAAACTTGCTTAGAAATTTTTTCCACATTTGGTTAAGAAATTAAAACTTAACTGATGTGCAACTTACAAACTTCCCTTTAGTTATATAGATAAAAGTTCATAAATACAAATCTATTATGTATAGATGTAGGCTCAGTTATTTTGATGCAGGCAGAAAAGAAAATGTATGAAAATGCTGTTGACTAGTGGACCTAAGCAGCCAGTTTCTAAACTCTGTGCGTCCTTCTTTATGTTCTTTTCTTTTCAGCTATGTAGAAAATAGTTGTGTTTGTTGTTTATTAAGTATTGTTAGATACACGGGAATTTTTCTATACTTCTGAATCATTGTAGTTTTAATAATAAGGTATTTGATTTGGAGCACTGATAATACATGTTTAATACTCTGTTAAGATGGAAAGTAGTTCTCAGTCTTAAAGTAAAACCTATTTACAGAGTGAGGAAACAATTTTTGCGTTGTACTCTGGAATTTGCTTGCGGTTGTATGCTTAGCTTAGTTCTTTTATGTGTTTGATTTGGTTGGGGTTTGGGGTTTTTTTCTTTTTTCCCCCCTCACCTAATTTATTATTACAGGCTTTCCACCACCACCTGGCGGTCCTCCACCTTCCCTCATACCCACAATAGAAAGGTGATTGTCTGTTCAAAATCTTAAAAACAATATATTGGTATTCTGTAACTGAAATAAATTAGTAAGAACTCTTACACTATCTAGTGTTTTATGGGTTTTATCTGGGAGTATGGAGACAGTTTCAGATTTTTACAGATATGTTGTCTCACCTGTCTGACAATATTCTTATGAGTTACTTGACCACTTATTAGTTTGAGTTATGACACTATATCAGTGCCAAGACTTACGAACAAAGTTAAGGCAATGATTGTTTAAGTATTCTTTAGTAGTTTGAAGGCATATTTAAGTGAACCATATACTTGTCAGCTACCATATCCTTTTCTATACATGCAAATAAACAATTTGACCACAGATTCAAGCCCTCATAAGCTATAGGAAATGCCGGGTTCCAAGGAATACAAATCTGTGTTTCTACTGTGTGTGTTCTGTCTTCAGCTTTAATAGACCTAACAAGTATTTTTTCAATACCTTTTTTGTATATGTGTATGCATACATATATTTTTATAGATATATATCTCAAAGGAAATAAAGTTGTTCAACACAGTCCTTTAAAAGTATTTATATTTTGCTGGAGGCCAAAACCAGGTCATATGCAAAGCTCATTTAAAAAGATGGTGCAAGCCTCTTGTCAGTCCTTTGGATTTCACTGAAGGAAGGTGCACGCATCTGTTCCTTTGAAATTGAAAATTCTGTTAACATATACACTACAGGATGATGAAGGTAAAGCTCTGAGAAAATCCTCATGTAATTTATTTCAGGAAAAATCCCTAACTGGATGCATTTGATGTACATGAAAGTAAATTTATTTTTTCATACTGACAGTTGCTGTGAGTGACTGCTGCTTCCGACTGTCAGGCAGTGGTCATTGCATTTACTTGTAGTGAATATTTATGTAGTTTCTCAAATACAATGTGAAAAAAATTAGTTTATTGTGGAACCTAAGAACTAAATCTCATACTTTTAAATGTAAAGGTGTTGCATTGGCCTTTCATTATCATTGGTTTTGTTTTTAAACTAAGCTAGCCCAAAACTTTTTTTTAATGTTAAAGTACCTTCCAGAACAGAAATAACCCTTAGGTTAAATACTGCAAAGGTAATTCATTCTAGTTATATAGGAAGTGCTAAAAGTCATGAAAGAATTATGTATGTATGAATTGTGTCCTGTACTCCTGTCCTTCGTAACCTTTCTGCTTTTTACCTACTGGAGTTGGCCACCACTGAAAGAAGTCAGCCTAGAAAATGTGTGGCTAATTAAATATTTTTTTTTCTAGAACTACACATTTGAAGTCCACCTGTTCTTAGATATGCTCACGTATCTACTTTTAACAGAAAGAGTGAGAATGGCTTCATTCATAAATGAAGCACTTCCAAGCAGTTGGAGATTAAGTTCAGTATCTGTGCTGAAACACCTTATGATACAAGACACATTTGAAATAGAAAGTTCATTGAAAATACAAAGGAACGGCTTTGATAGGGATACTTTTTGGTTTAAATTTTAAGAAGAGAGAATGCTATTTTTGCCTCCTGTAGTAAAACATGAAATATACATATTTGTGTATTTCCTTATTTCCTTAATTAGTAATGCTCAAAATGGAAGACTTAAATCCATTTATAATGAACGCTTTGTTTTAGTCTGTATAGTGGGAAGAATTCAAAAGAATAATACTTAAAGTATATATTTATTGATGGAGGTAGCTTTGATGGTAAAACTGGATTTTTACATGTATTTTCTTTTCAACAGTGGACATTCTTCTGGCTATGATGGTCGTTCTGTTCGTGCATTTTCATATGGCAGTGGTGAGTTTCCTTGCTGGCTTTGAGAATTTTGACTAGTGCTAGATCAGTTTGATGTATTTACCAGGTTTTTAGCTAAGAGACTAAACAGGTCCTTTCAGTAATTCATTATGAAAGCTCATTGCCTACTATTGTGAACAGAATACATGCTGTTGCAAATTTAACAGCTGTTGGTAAATACTATTGTTTTGCTTACTTATTTGTATGCTGGATAGCTTTCCATGCTGCTTTTGCAGAACTGTGTTTTTGAAAAATAATACACTGCAATATGGAGCACAAGTCAGGGAGAATTTTCCAAGAACTGACAGGGTTTAGAAGCAGGAGAACAAGTACTGTCAAGAGATTATCAGAATTTCAACCAGCAACACCAGTCATTGAGAAATCCTGAGTGATGTGCCTCTCCTTTGAAAAACTGCCTAAGATACTATAATCTTGAGCTATCCTGTTGCAAAGTCAGTTTTTCTATTTTTTTGGTTAATGTTATGGAAAAATTCTGAAGCTGAAAAACATCACTTTCTGGTTTTACAATAAGAATAAACCAAAATAGAAGTTTCAATATGTGCAATGAAATGGATGTCCACAGAACCTACAGTGAGTTTAGTACTGTTACCTAGCACATCTCTGCTTCACAGGTGAAAAGAGTGATAGCAATACTAAGATGTCAGCTTCTTCCTGACCCAGCCCAAATTGGGAAGATAAAACAAACACAGAATCACAGAATGGTTTGGATTGGAAGGGAATTTTAAAGATAATCTAGTCCCACCCCTCTGCTCTGGGTAGGGACATCTCTTACTAGATCAGATTGCTCAAAGCCCTGTCCAACCTGGCCTTGAACACTTCCAGGGAGGGGGCATTCACCAGTTTTCTGGGCAACCTGTTCCAGTGTCTCACCACACTCATCATGAGGAATTTCTTCCCTATGTCCAATCTAAACCTACCCTTTTTCAGTTAAAAACGTTGCCCCCTGTCTTGTCACTACAGGCCCTGGTAAAAAGTCTCTCTTCATCTTTTGTATAAGCCCCTTTTAAGTATTGAAAGGCCACAATAGTGTCTCCCCAGAGCTTTCTCCAGGCTGAAAAACCTAGGAGAGATGTTCCTTCCAGCTCTCCGATGATTTTTCATGGCCCTCCTCTGGAGTTTCTCTAACATGCCTTTCTTACACTGGGGGCCTGAGAGCTGGATGCAGTACTCAAGTCTCACAAGAGCACACAGAGGGAGAATCACCTCCTTCAACCTGCTGGCCACATTTCTTTTTATGGAGCCCAGGATACGACTGTCTTTCTGGGCTGCAAACTCACATTGTCAACTTATATTTAATTTTTTCATCCAACAGTATCCCCAAGTCCTTCTCTGCAGGGCTGCTCTCAATCATCACTCAGTATGTCTTGATACTGAAGATTGCCCTGACCTGGGTGCAGGACCTGGAGTGTTGCCAGTCACTGCTTCTGCCTTCAGTGCATCTGCCATCCAGCCTCACGCCTAGTGCCTTTTCTTCCAGCTGACTTCTCTTTGTTCAGTTGGACCCGAGCTGCTGGGAGGAGAAATTGTAGGGAAAGTTCTGTCCAGTTCTGGGGATACATAATGTTCAGCACAGATCAAACATGCAGATAATGTGTCTCCCAAATGTTACTGAGTTTTTAGAGAGGATATACAATATGTCATTTTTGAATGGTTTGTCATTTCTTGAGGTTGAAGTGGTACTTCACTGACATTGAAAGGTTCCTCATCAGTTATCAAGTGTTTCCTTTTATGCATGGAAGCTTGTTACTTTTCAAGAAGTCTTGATGTTGGCAAACAGCTGCTTTGCGCTACCTACTTTTTTAGCAATAATCGAACCGTATTTGCTGAAGTCTTAGCAAAAAGGTAAAGCTGAGGCAGACAACAAAGATACTGAAGTTGCTATTTTGTTGAGGCTTCAACATCTAAAACTGTGCAGAGTATCATAAGGAAAGCAGTCTTACAGCCAGTAGTATGTACACTGCATCCAATATGTAGTCTCCAATTTACAATGTTTATTACTTCAGAATCTCTTTTGTTAGAATTTGCTATTCTGTCAAGTATTGTCAGGGACACAAAAATACAAGTTTTATGTTGACCTTTGATGGTGATGGCATGCTTCTGTTGTTGCAGTACCAGTACTTGAAAGGTGATTGGCATTGTGATCATGCCAACATTGAATTTGAATTTCAGTAGTGTTAAAAAATTGTTTGCCTTTGTATGGTTATGGAGACAAAGGAGTACAGTCTGCTCCCATCTTCCCAGTCTGTTCTCATCTTTCTAGTTTATTTGGCATCCCTGTTGTGGCAGAATCTTTCATATTTGCTACACAAAGCAAATTGTCTTTCTCTAAGCTGTGCCTGTCATACAGATTTTTGGATCTGTAGAGACTCAGTAGCATTTTATCGCTGTTCATCTCTTAGTGAAGGATGCTTTCCTGCCCAGCATCTTTCTTTCACGGTGCCTCTCTCACAATGTAGTCACTGGCCAGTATTTTACCAGTGCTCTCTGTGCATCAGAACTTAGGTAGATTGCTCAGCAATACAGATGATCATTAAATTAAGAATTGCTGAGTATATTTATTTAATAGTTGCTTTGGATGACAGCGCTGAATCTCCAACCTGTTGTCTTCTTTGCCAGTCTGTATATTTCATGGCTTTGTCAAAATTGTGGGGGAGGATGAATATATGGAATGCATTGCAAAAAACACCAATCTTGATTAAGGGTCTAGTCTTTTTTCTGCCTATTCAAATTGCTAATCTCATGCTTTGGTGTCTTTTACCTAGTGGTCAGTCATGTTTCCCACTGCAAGCCCATTAGGAAGGTTGCATAGTAAAATAATATTCTTAACTTGTAGATTCGAGATAATCTATTTTGTCGTTATGCTCTTCCACTGCATCAGTAGAGTTTCTTCAATTTGCTCCTAAATCCTTTTACAATTTAGTGCTACCTTTGCCATCAGATCTTTCAATTTTATTGAGCTGTCAATATAGGGCACTGTGTTTTGTCTGCCAGGGAAGAGACTTGCATGCTTGTTTGCTTTTTCTCTGTTCTGTGCTCTAAATGTTCTTTATATCTTATGAACTTGCAAGCAATTTAGCATTACAGAAACAGCTCGAGAGTCAGTATTTTTTGACAGATACAAAGATGTATTAATAATTTGCCTTATAGTGTGACACCATGCAGCTTTAAATTTTTTAACCATCTCCAAAACAGAACTTAATTCTCTAAAACTATGGATTAATCAAAGCTCCCTCTTTCCTGTTTCAAAAATAAAATAAGAGTTAAACTTTGAAAGTGTCTTTCCTTTTGTAGAAATTATTGGAATAATCCATGTAGAAATATTAAAAGTGACAAATGACTTCATTCTAAATAGTAAAGTCAGAACAGCGGTTCATATTAGAATGTAAGCTTCTTGGTGTTGTGAATAATTACTGGTGAAAATCTAGGTGTAAGAATGTGCAGAGTATCAAATAATTGGTTTATCTCAGGTTATTGGAGTGGAAATTGCATACTGCTGTCTGATGAGAATTAGTGCAGATGTGAGGGAGTAACCAAAACTTATTCTAAAAGTTTAGACTACCATTAATAATTGTTTTGTACTATATGTTTAAAGTTAAACTTAAGTTTACACTTTGGATGAGAATATTCTGGCAGCCAGTGTCTCATAGACCATACGTATGTTGTTGACATAGCGGCAAGTCAAGGAAATTAGCAGTCTTTAAAGTCCAGCTGTTTTTTTGCTATTTCTGGCTGCTTTCCTTAGAAGAATTTCAGGTTTTGGCAGTATAATGAACAACATACTATTGTATTAGGGTATTTTTTTTTCTGTTAACTCCTCATTTTTTTTCTGTAGCCCTGAAGTGAAACATTGTCAAGCATTTGTTAGAGGCAAAACCTCGTATAAATGCTTTTTTAAAGAATTATAATGCTTTTCATTGCAAATGTATTTTAACAAAGAAGTGTTTTTTCCTGCTCCGCTGCCTGCTCAAAAGGTCTTTTGTATTCCTCCTTTGGACACTTGGCAAACTGCTTTCTTAAGCTTCTGCCAAAGCTTTCTGGGGCAGGCATACTCCAGACATTGTAGGCAAGGCAGTCTGAACATATCTGTCAGGAGAAGCCACTGATTTTATAACTTGACATTACTAAATACAGTATCAGTAATGCACTTTATATTGTTCAGTTGATATTTATGTTAATTATACTATTAATGTCTCTTTGTGACACCATGGAGTCAAGTGAATATTGTTCTCATAGATAATGAAGTGGAGCTCAAAACAAACGCTTTATTGGAGGCTATGTTATCATTGGCTAGCAAAGCAGATAAGCAGAAAGTGGGAAGACCTCTGTACTGTAAGTCCACTAGAGAGTGCTGTTTCCAGTTAAATACTACAGCCCTTATTTTTATTCACAGGATACATTCACAGGACTTCTGGAGAGGGAGGGCAGGACAGAACAATTGGGGCACTAAGAGTAGTAGTTATTTATTGCTTTGGAGTTGGCAGAAAGCAATGCAGAAGCATGTCCCTTCTCTCTTCCCATTGCTGGTTACCTAAAAAGGTTGAGAGTTGGTGTTGTGACTTCCGTCTTAACTTCTTAAGCATATTATCTTTTAGATTGATATAATATGCTCAATTTTCTGAAACTATTATATTTTGGTGGTAATAATGGTTGTGCTGAGTACTCATTAGAAATGGTATCTTACAAAGCATAAGTAAGAGCATTATTTCTTCTCCCAGATGAATTTATGGAATTTATTTTGAAAGCTGCTGTTACATCTGTATTCAGAAAAGTATGGCAAAGCACAGTATAGAATATAAATTAGTGAACGAGAGCTTTGTAACTAACTTTATATTTTAAATGACAAAGCATAAAAATAGTAACTTCTAAATATAAAGTTGGAAGTGTCATTTTTCCTTGTTTTTCCGAACTGTACTTTCAGAGCCACTGAATTTCAAAGGCAGTTTCGTTTTCTGATTGTTCCCCCAAAACAAAGCTATTTGACCACATAAAATCAGATTCTTTCAGCAAATCTTTGCACAATATATTTTTCTTTTTTCTCAAAAGGATTTAGACAGTTTTTGTGGTGTATATCCTGGTTCTGTGTAGTATACAGAATATAACTAGTATTTAAATGAGTGTCAGAGGCCTCTATTAGCATCATGGAAAAAATGCAGAGTTTGCTCAGAATTAACTTTTATGTGAAAGGGGAAGACTGAAAAATGTCATTGGAGGAGGCTGACAAACATCTGTGTTTTCATGCATAAGTAGCATTATAGTTTTCATATATTATCTTAATTTTGTTCTTTCTAATACCTGCATCTCTTTCTTTAGTCACCTTTCCGCACCTTGCAGGTTCTGCTCCTTCATGGTCTAGTCTTATGGACACCAGCAAACAGTGGGATTATTATGCACGAAGAGAGAAAGAGAGAGAACGTGAGAGAGAGCGATCCCGAGATCGGGATCGGGACCGGGACCGAGACAGAGATCGAGAACGTACCAGAGACAGGGAAAGGGACCGAGATCACAGTCCAACTCCAAGTGTGTTCAACAGGTTAGTGAAATGTCTTAAGCATGCTGTAACTCTGCTCAAAACCCCGTATCTGTGTTAAATAGCATACTTCAACCTTAAAATTTAGTGTTCAGCTTATATTCCAAAGAGCTAGATGGTGTGGCTTCCTCCTCTTCCCCCTTTTTTCTTGGAAACTATATTTCTAACTGTAAAACAGAAGTGTAAAAATGACGGTGTACGTCCAAACTGGTCATAGTGCTTTAGAGGTTAAGAGTGTAATTTAAGCCCTGTGTATGAGTGAGATATCCAGTTCTCTTTGACAATAATTCTAGAAGAATCTATAGAAATACTAAATGAATTGTCATCTCAATGCTAAGAGCAATGTGGTGCAACATTTGACCTTAATTAATGGTGTTATTAGCTGCTAAAATGGCTAGTTTGGTCATTTGCACTAGCTGGATAATAATCTGTCCTATCTATTTTTTTAAAACTATGATTTCAAGGCCAAAAACTGATTTCGTTTTTAGGCAGATGATGAATATGGCAGATAACTTTATTCAGCCTTCAACTCTAATTTCTTTTTTCAAAAAAACAAAAAAACAAAAAAGCTGCAACTGTTCTTTGGTTCATGTGCACAAGTACAAAGCATTTAATAGTGAGTTCACTATGACTCCATGCAGCAGAGTTCTATTGGCTTGCCAGATTTATCTAAATTTACTTTGCTTATTATTTGGTAAGTATTTTAGGGTAAATGTCCTGATGCTTCTCTCAGGGTTTTTTGTTAAGTTTCAATTTTTGCAGAATATATATGTTCATTATTAGGTGGATTGTTTTTACCAGTAGTTTTACGCTGTGGGGAATGAAAGCACCCTCAATCAACGTTACTTCAGTTGAGAGATGACATTTTTCACTTGATGATTGTTAGCTGAAGACCCAAACTGAGTGCAAGATAAGGATTTTCCGTGTATGCTGATGTGGTGATGTCCTCTCCTGTGTGCATGTGCTATGTTCCAGGGTCAGTTTCTGAGAACTCAAGACCAATCTAAACATCTGTTTCTCAGACAGCTTGATTGAAGGCCAGAAAGAAGCCTGGTCATTCAAGGGTGCTTGAAATGAACCTTAATAGCTTCCAGGCCTTGAGAAATCTCTGTGCTGCTGCCAGAGTTATCTGTAAAGGAGGGGGAAGAGCAGGCCTCAACTTTTTTATGTGACTAAATTATCCACCATCTGTAGCAAAGCTGTTGCCACATGGCTGTGTAAGAAAATGGGAGGCCCTTAAATAGTGTAAGTTGGTTTGGCAGTCACCAATAAGGTGGGAGAGGCTTAAGACAGAACATGCAGACATAATGTTTTTTAAGAAGGTTTATTTTCAATTCTATGCACTTAAGAAAATAAAATGAAACAAGTTATGAGAAAGAGATTGTGAAGTATTTTAGAGACAACACAGATGCATTACTTCTATTTAAATTCCCTTTGTTTAAATTCTGTTAAAGTGACACTGTGGTGCAATTTGGAGTAAGCATCATCTTTAGCTTTTTACTGCTCAGTAATTACTGCTTTCAATGTTTTTAACTGTTCTTTTCCAGATAAATAGCCTACATTTGTGCTATAATATTTCTTAAAATTGTAAGAAAATGGGAATTATTTTTATTAGTATAACCAAAATGTGGGTTAAAAATGAACCTTCAGCTTTCTTTTATGTTCTTTTCTAACTTTGCTCTGCTATCCTCAGATGAAATTATATATTTTTACAACATATCTCACTCTGCCCCCTTGAGAAAATGCCAGTCTCTTTGTACTGTTGTCCCTTCTGCAAAGACTGTGTTGTCTTTTTTTTTTGTTTTGATAGTTTCATGTCAATTAGTTACCACTAAAGATGTAAACTTTGGAATTTGATTGATGCCTTACCATTTCATGGTTCTTCCTCAGCAATTTGAAAAACAAAAACAAAACCCAGCAACTGTGTTTCTAAGGTCTTGGAACCCAGTAATCCCATGCAGCAGAGCAGATGAGGATCTGTTTGGCGACAAAGCAGCTTTACAGGACAGGACTTTGTGTCCTGGTGGGCAACAAATTGAATGGGACTTGTCACTCAATGTGCAATAAAGGTCAAAATGCATTGAGCTGCGTTAGGGTGTAGCCCGCAGGTGGAGAATGACATTATTTCCCTCTTACTTGGTACTTCATACAACATATGAAGTACTGTGCCTAGTTTTGGGATCCTAAATAGGAAAAAACATTGACAGACCAGAGAGTCCAGTGGAGGTCTGATAAGGTGGTTAGCAGGGCTGAGGGGATGGAGTTTATTTGGCTGTAAAAGGAGAAGGATGAGTAGGGTTCTTAAAGGCTATTTTCAACTACCTGATGGGTGATTATAGAGAAGATAGCACCAGGCTGTTTTTCAGGCTGCACAGAGAAAGGGTAAGGGGCAATAGTTTAAAGTCACAGCAAGGGAAATTCCAATTAGATATGAGGGAGGGAGGGGGTTGTGTGTATGTGTGTAAATAATCACCAAGAGTGATCAGGTGGTAAGACAAGTTGCAGAGGGAGGTTGTAGAATCTTCAGCCTTGGAAATACTCAAGACTTGACTAAACAAAGCCCTGAGCAACCTGAGCAGACTTCTGAGTTATCCCTATTTTCAGAGGGCATTCATGGAATCACAGAATGGTTTGGGTTGGAAGGGACTTTAAAGACCATCTAGCTCCAACCCCCTGCCATGGGCAGGGACACCTTCCACTAGACCAGGTTTCTCACAGCCCCGTCCAACCTGGTCTTGAGCACTGCCAGGGAGGGGGCAGCCACAACCTCTTTGGGCGACCTGTTCCAGTGTCTCACGACCCTCACAGTAAAGAATTTCTTCCTTATATCTAATCTAAATCTGCCCTCTTTCAGTTTAAAATCATTACTCCTTGTCCTATCACTACACTCCCTGCTCAAGAGTCCCTCCCCATCTCTCCTGTAGTTCCCCTTTAAGTACTGGAAGGCCACTATAAGGTCTCCCTGGAGCCTTCTCTTCTCCAGGCTGAACAACCCCAACTCTCTCAGCCTGTCCTCATAGAGGAGGTGCTCCAGCCCCCTGATCATCTTTGTGGCCTCCTCTGGACCCACTTGAGCAGGTCCATGTCCTTCTTATGTCAGGGGCCCCAGAGCTGGAGAGAGTACTGCAGGTGGGGTCTCACTTGTGTTAGCCCACACAAAGTCCCTTCCAGCCTAAATGCTTCTGTGATTCTTTATTGAAGGGTTTTTTAATACTTGGGACAGTTTTTGAATACAGATACCAGAAGTTGGACATATTTACCAAAGTGAAATCTCATGATGTGTGAAGTTAATAGCTTGTAGTCTGTTTCAAAAAAGTAACCGAAAGTGTAGAAAACAAAGATTTTTATGGATTGAACTTCTTTGACAGGAGGGCATAGGTAACTATAGGTCCTCTTCCACAGGTCAGAGGTTGTCGTGCTCTCAAGGCTGTCCCTGGAAGGCTTTGATAACTGTAACGTAAGCCCAGTTACAAAATGGGGAGGAGATCACTTGTGTAACATTGGGTACATGGCATCTGTTCCTGTTTCTGAAAGCTCCCAGCATTCTGGACTTGGCAAACTGATTTTTTGCTTTGCTTATAGAAATGTTTGTTTTCAGACACACTTACAAGCTGTCATGGTTCCTTAGTAGCTTGCCAAAATAAGGTTTAAAAAGGAATATCAATAATATTTTTAGTGTTTTCTAGAGTGTTTTAAAATAGTTGTGTAACAGAGCAAATGCAGACTGTGAGTTAACATTAAAGGTTTTGGATCTCAGCTTTGAAACCAAGCTGTAAGTATACAAGTAGCCATCTGATTTCTTATGAAATTAGAAGCTCATCAGAAGGCAGTGTTAGACATTTAAATTTTAACTTTTTAATTAGATACTGATCATCAAAATGTTAGTTTTGGGAAGTAATATTGGATATTGGCAGTATCTGCAGTTGAATTGATTCTACCCTTTTATACCCTTGTAAGCCTGCAAAAATGTAAGGATCCTAAAACTGTGATGACTAGTGGCATTTTAAAGATGTGTTGGTACAGGAATCCACGTCTGATAACAATTTTGTTGTTCAAATCAGACTCTATGTTTAGTTACAACTTTTGGTAGATTTCGGAACCTAATTTTAATTTCACTTTTAACATCATACATTTGTTTTATATTCTAAAACTGAGCGTTATAACTAGACTTCACCAGGCACAGGTTGTCTTTATGGTGCTGCTTTATTGCACACCAAGTTAAGACACACTTCATAGATCAAATGGGAGACTGGCATTCTGAACTACAAAACTGCTATGTAAGCTAGGCTAGTCTCCTCTTCAGTATGACTTGTCCTAGAAACTAGCAGTTGGTATCAACCTTCATCTTTCTGTGACATTTGATAAGAAAACTCTTCTGATTGGTTTTACTTCTCTCCCTGAAGCCGAAGCCTTGAGCTAGTTTCTTGTGAGAAGTGCTGAATAGAAAGTTACTTGGATTGTAAATATCTCCCCTGCACTTCCTTCCACTGCTAGTAAAGTAGAAACTTGAGGGTAAAACAATGGTGAATGATACAGATACAAACAGGTTAAAGGCATAGGACTTGAGGTTTCAGCACTGTAAGATTTAGGATTTATTTTCTCCCTTCCCTTCCCCTCCACTCCCAACTGCTTTAGTTTACCTGTCTGGGTTTTGGACATCTCAGTGGAGCAAGCAAATTTATTTTCACACTATAAACTTTAGGGTGCCTTAAGCTGGCTGTGGAAAGGTATGATCAGAATTCATGTTTTGTGGCTGTACTGCCTTCCTTTTTTTAAGTTGATGTGTCTCAGTTGTAGGATTTTCTTCTGGGAGAGACAACATAGTCTTTAAAAGAATTGTTTAATGCAGTTGAACTTTCTTTTTGTCTTAAGAGAGGGACAGCAGTTGATAGCAGCACGATGCCTGTGAGGGTTACTGAGCACTGGCACAGGTTGGCTAGAGAGGTGGTGGAGTCTCTACCCTTGGAGATACCCTGAGGCCATCTGAACATGGTCCTGGGCAACTGGTGGTCCTGGTGGCTCTTCTTGAGCAGGGGTTTGGACCAGATGACTTCCAGACATGCCTTTCAACCTCAACCGTTCTGCGATCCGTCTCAAATGTACTTTGCAGGATTTGATCAGCTTACAGATTTGAGAGGAGTTATAAGTGCATTATGAAATCTTATAAATGTTCTAAAATTGTATAACAATACAGGCACTAATCAGTGCAATCATATTAGTGACAAATCATAACTGATTTCTTTAATAATAGCTGTAGTTTTCCTGATTTTGATGTGTATTTTTAATGTCCCTTAAAAACAGGATTTTCTGGAGGGTATTTGATGTTTCTCTACATGTCTTAAGTTGCTAATTTTTGAAATTTGCTCTAATAATATGCAGAATTTCATAGAAAGACTAGTGCTGGTGCTTCAGGCATTCCCACTTCTTGCTCTTGAGTTTTCATGCATGGCTGTAATAATCACTACTGTAATGTCTTCATTTGGGAAATGGCCACAGGATCCAAGTTACAGCAGATTAAATTGTTTTGGTCTAAATTCTCACTGCTCTAGGACATGAGAAATCTCTTTAGGCTTGAGCTGTTTTCCTTGTGTGATCTGTCTGATCTGTTCTGCTGCTGTCAGGAACCTCAGGAAGAGACTTACTGTAGTAAACGTTGGCAAAGATGGAAAGCATGAAACACTTGGCTTTTGTCAGCTTAATAGTATCTAAATTGTTACCTGTTTTAATTACTGCCACAGAAAGCCTGGTCACACTGTGCCTTTCTTTAGGGTTTGTTAGGGATCTTCCAAACTATGATTATGAAGAGTTCATGTGATATATAGATAGTTACAGTAAGTTAATTTGTGCTGAAGTCTCCTTGTTAAATGATACCGGCCACTGTATCTGGGTAGGATTTTCTTGGTAGAGAAATCATAAAATGAGCATGCCTTTTTAAGCTATGCTAATGTAGCATTTGAGTGGTATTGGCTAACTATAGATACTGCTCTTTTATTAAAATTTCACTAAACTCTTAGAATTGCCCTTTTCATCAAGTTAAAATATGAAAATATGTTCTTAAGTAAAGCCTTTAATATTTAGGGATTTTTACCAGCATTGTGGCAGAGCAGCACTCATGGTAATACAAGGGAAGACTGAAAGCAGAGACAGCATTGGCACAGGAGAAAAATTAATTTTAAAAGCAGTCCAAAATGTTGAGTATATTTTACTGTTAGTTTCTTTGTACCTAGCTTTTTCTTTCTTGAAGCTGATGTGAGGAAATAGATCAACTGTATTTAATGTAATTTACCCAAATAGTACAGTAGACAAAAAGCATGCTGATAAATATCAAGCATTACACACACTGATCTGAAAATATTACTAAAGTTTATGTAGGATTGTATTTCATTTGCAGCTAGGTAACAGTTTAGGCTAACTGCTTGATAACTCCCACTTAATGTGGCACTGCTGTATTCTTTTTTTACTTCCATTTTTATTGCACAGTCCTCTTTCAAAATTGTAATAACCACAGAAGTCTAGTGTGTAAGGTGAAGAGCTTTAGCTCCTTTTAGCATATGTTGTGGATCTCATTTAGAAACCAAAGCAACCTTGAGATTTTTCTGTCATCTCAGAAGTGCGTAAGAATTTCTTTTTTTAATATATATACTGCTTGGTGTTACTGTTCTGAAAATATCTTGGTTTTTAATCAGTGACGAAGAACGATATAGATACAGAGACTATGCAGAAAGAAGCTATGACCGCCATAGAACAAGTAGAGAGAAAGAAGACCGACACAGGGACAGGAGACACAGAGAGAAAGAAGAGACTAGACACAAGTCATCTCGAAGGTTTGATGAATTTTTTTTTTTAATATGATACGAAAGACTTGACCAGTTTAAAAATATAAACTTTTAAAAGAACCCCAAACAAACTGGAGTTTTGTGGAAAGACTGTAAACATTTAGATATACTACTTGAAACATGTCTGCCAAATAAAATGGGGACAGACAAAAAGCAATGTTGGCCCTGGGTAACTTCATATTGAATGATGTATGTGATGGTCTTAGCTACTGAGCAGAAATTACAAATTTGGGGAAAGAAAGGTAAATACTGTGGGTCAGAAAGAGATAGAGTGAAGCTGATATTCAGCAGCATTAACTCAATACAGATTCTTAGTAAAATAATCCTCATGGTCACTTGATAGAAATTGTTCAGCTTGATCCTTTTAAAGTTAGAAATTAAGTCCAGGGAATAGGGTCAATAAGAATGTTAAACCATTAAGGGATGCCAGTAGGGACATGACATTCTAATAGCAATACTTTTAATAATAATGGCTTACAAATGTGAAAAATCTTTCCAGTTTCTCAACAAAAAGTACAAGATGGGTGGATGTATGTACCATTCCATGAAAAATTTGGCACTGACATCCAAATGCTATATGGGTCAGAACAGGAGCACGTGTCAGTTTTCAAATACAAATGCAAAGTCTTTTTTTTGGTACTCTGTAATTAAATGGAACCTGAAGTGTCATGCAATTATTTGAGGTTTATTTTCTCTCTTTATTTAGTAACAGCAGACGTCGTCATGACAGTGAAGAAGGGGACAGCCACAGAAGGCACAAACACAAAAAATCCAAAAGAAGCAAAGAAGGAAAAGAAGCCAGTGGAGAACCTGCTCCTGAACAGGAAAACACTGAAGCTGCCCCTGTGGAATAGGCTTGTGTGATTTTTTTGCCTACTTGCATATATATTAGTGCCAGAAATAGATTACTATAAATCTTGTTATTTTTCTGGGTATTAAAATAATTTGCTCTTAATCTTGTTCTGTTAGTTTGAAATCAAAGGTTACTTTGATTTTTTTGAAAATAAAAGAACGAATTTTTCATGTTAAGATTCCTGGACTGACTTGTCTTTTAAGAAACAGTGAGAAAACATCTTACAGCTAGAGGCTTATGCTCTTACAGTATATCTAGGGCTTAAAGTCTCAGTATTGAATTGTCTTCTTTATTCATAAGCCATGGGAAGGTCATTCTTTTACTGACTTTAGAAAAAAGTGTGCATTCACTTTATTATATACCAACATCTGGAACAGTGTGGGTTCAGAATAGCTTTTGGAATTCATATTTGAAAAGGTCATCCTTTACTACAGGGACAGGCGGGAATTGTAGACTGTTCAAAAACCTTGTACTAAGGTGAAACAAAAAAAATCAGGGAAACTGGGGAAGGTGGTGATTGTTCTTAGTCTGATGGAATACTGAGTGTTGTGATCATACACTTAGTAATTATGTCTGGTTTGTGTGGGTGAATTAAGCTGGATAATCATCCCTGATGATTTTCAGTGGCTCAAGAGAAAGTTCATTTTAGTCTTTGTTCTAGGGGAACAGCTGTCCTTAACATGATAAAGATTAACAAACGTATACTCTTCCCATTGCTAGCATGTGAGGAAAAAATAAGACTTTGGAACATGGGTAATTTACAGAGAAAGGTAAAGATTATTTTAAGAAAATATAAAACTATAATCAGTTTCAGATTTACTTTATCCAGAACAGTATCATGTGATTGGCATGGTAGTCACAAAAAAATTGTACTGCCCTGTCAGGGTGCTATTTAGAAGACTTGATGGTATTAGCAGGGTGCAGTGTCCTTCCTTACAAAACAATAAGTCTATATAGAAATCTTAGATTTAATAGTATTAATTAAAACATATGAGGGAAATGATGTTGTTTGGTTTTGGTTGAAAATAACATCTGTACAAGTACACAGTTACAGTTATTTTTAATTATTTTAGAAATTCACAGTTTTACAGACTAGCAAACAGTACTTGAAAGTCTTGAAAATACCAGCTTCATGCTGACCATGAAAAGGTACACATAATCAAAGTGCTATTAATGTGTTGGATAAAAACCTTCACCTCATTTTTGCAACTAGAAAAATTGCAAGAAATTTTTCTAGCAGTTATTCAAGGATTTTTTTGTAAATCAAAATAAAGTGGGAGAACAGGAGCTACCACTCCTTAAATTTCATTATTATTATATTGCATTAAATATATATATATATAATATATAAAAAAACCCAACAACTGAAGAACACAGGGAAGGAAAGACTTCTGTCTGTAGCTTAAATCACTCTGAAGTGATTTTCTGACAGGTGTCCCTGCTTTGCCTAAACTTGACTTTTCTTGACATGCAGGTTGACTGACATTTCACAAACCTTTTCTCTATAAACACATACTTGACACCCCAAAAAGCAAAGACTGATGTTCCTTTTCTTTTTCCATGATAAATTACTTGTCATACTCTCCATAAAGACTTGTTTTATAAAAATGTGCCAGGCCAGGACACAATTGTGAGAGTAATTTTTCCTTTCAGTTCTTTGAGCATCCTTGCCAAACAGGCATGCATCATTCCTGATGTGTTCCTGCCATTGACAGCGAGGAGGATGTCACCGCATCTGAAAAAACAAAGACAAATATGAGAGAACAATTAAACAAGGTGAATTCTTACCTTAAACATTTGCAAATGCCAAAGCATATCCATAAGCTAGGAGGAAGGGGTAGAAATGAGTATTACCATTACTACTTTGGCTAACTACTGTTCATGAATAAGGGAATAAAGTAGGTGAAAATACTTTCCTTGCTTTTTTTTCCTTATAACTTTGTAATCAATTAGACATATATGAAAGAAAATAGGTTACAGTTCTTTCAGATGGGAATGATCCATGTCCTGAACAAACTGTGTTTTAAGACTTGGTTGATTTAAGTTTGGTCCATAATTCTGCATTTACTTTCTTAAATTGTATTGGTGTTTGAAGGGAAGATGGTTGGTTGCTTAGGGGTTTTTTTGAGCTGGGGATGTGGGAATGCTCTGTGCTGGTTTGCTTTCTACTACCCCAGAGATCAAACTGACTTACCTTTATACTTACTCATATACTAGTGATTGCTAGACATCTGAAAACATTCTACTATGAAGAAAAATCAACGTTCAGGACACTTATGTCCTGTTTCCAGAACTGACAGTTAGTTCTGTACCAATGAGTCCTTTTCCCCTGCTACCCTGTCTTCATGAAAGCTTGTTTAAAAAAAACAAACAAACAAACCAACAAACTACAAATGAACTAGATAAAAGACTGACTTAAATGCTACCTTTCATTACACAGTTATCATTACCTAATTCTGCCATCATTATATGCTGGTGTTCCCCCAACAATGGATTTGATAAAGAATGGTTTGTTCCCAGTATGTTCTTCGTAACCTCCTACGATGCTGAAGCCAAGACTTCCAGATGTATTTCTTCGTAATACGATTTCTTTGCAGCTGTACAAATACCTGAAACAAACCAGTCTAATTAAATGTCTTGCAGTTAACTTTAGATTCTGATAAATCATTAATGATGAATCTGCCTTTTCATACACCTGTAGAATGTTTTGAAGATGCAAAATAGCACCAAATTTCTAATATATTAGACACCTACATTTCCCTTCTGGTTTTGTAGTGTTGCTTTCCACAACCAGTTATCCTGAAAGTAAAATTACTAGGTAATCTTGGGGTTAAAATATTAAATAAGTTGTTTCATAGGGTAAGAATTTATACAAATGATCTAGTTGCAATTGAAAGTGATGGAGAAAAACACTGAACTGAGACTGCATTTAATATTTGTAAACCATCATTCCAAAAACTGTATTTCACCTACCTTGTACAGTCCAGTGACTTGGTTTATCTTCTAGAGAAGAGCCTGTATGCAATTAACTGTGTCAAAAGCGATCAGGCATTTTTTACTGTGGTGCATGTTAAAGCTAAATAATTTCAGGGGCAATTGAAAGGAGCCAGAATTACAAAAAAATCAGAGATCTGACAGAGAAGAGTATCGGTACAAGAAAGGATCCTGAGCTTTCCTTGTCAAGTAACATGGTAAATTACAGCACGGAAGACGAGAGAAGTCTATCCATGTCAGCCAGTGCTTTGGAATACTGAGACTGCTTCAAGATAGCTTGTCCTCACTACCATGATTATCACAAGATTTTATGGTAAAAGAGCTGAAATCTGCTTCTCCATCCATTTGTCTTGAATGTATTTTATGATACTGTAAGTTACGCTGAGTCAAAGCTTAGCTGAAACAAGGAATAGGGGAAAGCAAGAATTGCTAGATTAGGCTTTGCCTATTGCTCCAAGTACCTTAATTTCAGTGTCTGCTTTGTTTCTTTTTTTTTTTTTTAACCAAGCAGGAAAAAATGAGTGTCATTAGGTACAGAGCAAAAGACATTTCTTTCCTTGGTATATAATCCACTCATCTTTAGTGGTGTACCCAGGAATGACTAAAGAGCCTGAAAGTTTTTTGCTGTTCCAAATCTGAAATTCTAGGCTGGTCTACAGCAAGCAACTGTTACAAGCTCTATTCAGAGACTGTTTAGATTTATAAGAAACAGCTGACATTTCTGTAGAAGGATAAATAACTTTATCTTAAAGACCAGTATGTCTAGCTTTTTTAAAATTTTATTTGTTAAATAATGCTTTTGCTGTGTTTCACAGCAGGATTTTATAATAATACTAGATTAGTCCCCCAGGACCTACAAATATTCACCTGCTGCCAGGATGGTAGGTATATAGTATTTGCACAAGAATTCACTGGCTGCTAATGTAAGAAACAGGTGACATTTGTTCCTTTCCTCAACAGCCAGGCATTATTACTTCACCATCTGTGGACTTCTTCAATGTGCAAAATCACTTAAACCTTCTATGTTTGATGGTACTTATCAAGGTCATGACCAAGCAAGGCCAGGATTCAGCCATTAGTGCTATTACCTAGTGTTGATTTTGGGGAGCAGGGGTCTCTGCTGCCTGGTGCTATGCTCACTGCCTTAAGGAGGACACTGCTGAAACTGAAAGGTGATCAGCTAAATCCTAACACCATAGAAAAGAAATAGCTGAGCAGGTGAAGACACAAGAAGAAAATGCAGTGAAGACAGACAAGGCTTCCACGCATTCTGTACATACAGTCTGAAAGGTTATTGCTTACAAGGTCTCCATCAGTCCAGAAAGCATAAATACTTATTTGCAGTCAAAGCATATATGAAATTTAAGTAAAACAGACACAGCATTAGGATAGTTCTAATGGGAAGCAAGGAGTGGCAGAGAGCAACTTCTCTGTCCCAACTCCAACTCTCTGCGCTGCCTTTTGCCTCACAGAAGGGACAGGGTGTAACATGCTCTGACAAGGCAGTGGAGACCAGGAAGGTGGGAGGAGAGGTGCTGGAGGGAAGCTGAGTGAGTACAGGAAAAGGGGAAGAAAGGGGTTTTCCCAAAGTGTTTACATGTTTGTCATCTTTAGTTCTCAAGACTCAAATTGGTAATTAAATGTTTTAAATTAAATTCCCCAAGCCAAGTCTGGTTTGCCCGCAACAGTAAGGGGTGAGTGGTTTCCCTGTCTTTACTTTGACTCATGAGTTTTCTTGCTCTTGTTCTTCCTATGTTCTCTTAATCCTGCTGGGGATGTTGAGCTGTGGGTGTGGTTGGTGCAGACCAGATCCAACCCATCACACCGGCCATAGCTGACTCATGACAGTGGCTATGTGGTGTTTACACCTTTAAATTGATGTATCCTTATCTCTGTCCTATGGGATAAACATGGCAGTGCAGCATCCATCCATCAGCTATGCATTACTGCTGTCAGAAAAGTGAAAAAGGTGCTGGGATGCAGCATGAGGCAAAGCTGAGCTGTGTCGAACATGGGTACTGCTTGCTCTGAACATTTTCGTACCTAAGCAGAGATGCTTGCTCTGCCTGAGCAAAAAGCAACCCAAAGGGAGTTCATTTGGGTCTGTTTACAGCTGTGGAGTAATAAAGACAAGCTAGAAAGCACCATAGAGAGAAAATGAAACCAAGTACTTGCAAATACATCCAAAAGGTGCTTAGTGTTTGAGTGACTTCTCTGCTGTAACCAAAGTCCCAGTGTGTGTGTTTTGACCTAGTTAAACTGCCATAACTCACTAAACTGCAACTGGTCCAAGCAGAATCATCTTCCTCCTTGGAAGAGAGCAGCTTGCAGTCTTCTGCCTCTATCTGTAAATACTCCAAAAGCTGAAGACAAGGAGTAATTTATGTGTGAACTTGCCTAATTCAATATTTGAGGATAAATGGTGTCTAGGCACAGGGTACTGTCATAAGAAATACTACTGCACAAGGAGTTTAAAAGTGCCTGTTTTCAAAGAGTTAAATGCACAATTCTCTCCTGCTTTTCACAAAGCCTGAGTAGCCTTATGGTCTGGGAATGAAAAACAGACCAACCTCAGGAGGACTTCAGCAATAACAGGTATCAAAGCATGACTTCCTCCCCCACCCTGTTACAGTAGACAAGTGGCAGTGGAGTAGAGTAATATTTGAGAATTGCTCCCATCAGAGCCCTACAACCTGGATGCAGTTAGTTTTGGGGAGTTTCTGTCCTAATTCCATGTTTTACGTCCAGTTCTACCCCTGGTTTGCAGAATGACTTTGGCCACCTCCTGTCTTTCTCATCTCACTTTGCAGATGAAAAAAAGCACTCATACGAAGTGCTAATGTTTGTAAACCTTATGACAGGATGATCTATAAAGTATTTTTAAGTGCTAGCTGGGGAAAGGAAATGTGAGGAGAGCAAAGAAAGGAGACCAGAAAAGCAAGCAAGAATAGAAGAAACACCACAGGACTGGGAAAACACTTTTCACCAGCTGCTCCACATTATTTCCTTTGTGCATGCTTCACAACATTTCCCTCCAACAATAAAGAAGACCTGTCTTCCTCAACAACAATTAAATTAGCTACCCTGAAAAAAGCCTTCGAGAAGGAATGCTTGAGGTCCTGCATCACTGTTTCCTCCTGACGCTGAACCCGCAGGCCCTCCGCTCGTATGCAGGCCAAGTTTTGACAGACGTCAGATGCACATGTGCATCTATTTTATAACCACCACATATTGTATTGTACTACAGAAAGAACAGAGGAGTTGTTTATGTATTATCAAGTCATATACAAGTGACCAAAGCCAATTTTAAGATCTCACAAAGAGATGAAATCTAAGCAAGATCCA